TTCATGCATATATCTTTTTTTTGTAAATTGTTTGTCATCATCAAAAAGGGGGAGATTGTTGGCCTTCTTGTTTTGATGATGTTTAACAAACAATTTACCACTAATGTTGTTTGTCTAGTATTTGTGTTTTCCTATATATTATAGACAAACAACGTCGTTGGAGGATGGATGGATTGTGCCATAACGACGATATCAAATGGAGGTTGGCGGAATTGTGGAGTGAAGCAACATGCAATTCATAGTTAAAGATCAAGTTCAAGCTTCATCCGCATGTGTACCAAGTTGAGCTACAATGAAGATCAAGATCAAGCTTGGGTAATCTAATTTAGATTTTATATTATGTGTGTGAAGTACCTTAAGCTCAATATCATATACACACACGTATTTGGTTTCTATGTATATATATAGTTATATATATATACATGCATGGTTTTGGGTTTTCATGTTTTGAACACTTTTGCAAAATAATGAGATTTCACAATTGGGAAATGCAAATTGGAAAATTCTTTTTGTAACATATTCAAAATATCATTTGAAAACATTTCTCAATGTTTCATCAAGTTTGGAATTGATTTGTTATGTTTAAAGGAATTTACAAATTCACGTTTTCGTTCGTGCACATGTTCGTGCATGTTTTACAAAACTGATGAGTTTTCACAAATGAGAAGTGATATTTGAAAAATTCTTTCTCTGACATGTTTACCTACATGTTTATAAACTTCCCTCAAAATTTTACTATTTTTGGAGTTGATTTACTGTACCTAATTGATTTTACAAAATCGTGTATCACAGCAGATTTTCAGAAACTGTATTTCTGTGTTCAAACATTTATTTCTCTCACCTGGGAAATGTTTTTTCAGAAATTCTTTCTCTAACATGTTATTATACATGTCCAGAACCTTTCCTCAAGATTTCATAATTTTTAGAGCTGTTTTACTATTTTTAACCGATTTTATAAACTCGGATATACCTGCTACAGTACCGCCGGTCGACCGAAATTTCCGCCGGTCGACCGAAATTTACCATCGGTCGACCGAAATTTCC